ATTTTCCTCACAGACGTTTATACGATTTAAAATAAAAACAAATAAATAAAAAGATAAAACACTGGCATGTAATTTACGTTAGAATAAATAGAATGGTTTTGAATAATAGATGATAGTAAAATCTACGTCACTTTACAGCCCCGCCCACTTTTGGGGAAACCAACGCTGTCATTTGAACGGCGATCAAGCCTGAAGCCACAGAGCTCTTATTTTACTGTCCTTTATTCTTAGAGGAAGTACAGAAACACGTAACTCTGGATTTGTTTTAATGTTTGAGGTAAACGACACAGCAGCTTTTTGTCATGTTAAAACTATTATTTTCTGCCTTGCTCATGAGAGTAACAGCTGGCGAAATTACAGCCTCGCCTACTGATTTTAATGTAACCATATATCGAGCCTGATTCTCGATTTCAAAGGTGTGCTCTAAAATGATATTTATAAATGACTATTATCATTATTATAAGCAAGACAATAAAATGAAATGAAAATAAACGTATTTAAGATACGTTCATAACGAACGTAACGTGGGAGAAGATATGTTTCTAGAAGATATGTAGAAAATAAACGTATTTAAGATACGTTCATAAGGAACGTAACGTGGGAGAAAATATGTTTCTAGAAGATATGTAGGAAATAAACGTATTTTAGATACGTTCATAACGAACGTAACGTGGGAGTAAATACGTTTCAAGCTAAACGTAATTCAGAATGCAGTTTAGTTCTGTGGGAACGTAATTTTTAGGAGACAGGGTTGCAACCACAGGTCTCTGGTCTCGCACAAAACGCGTCACCAACATAAAGACGGCCGTCACGTTAGCACAATTCACCACATTCTTTCAGAATGAGAATAAAAGTATTTTACGAGGTGAAAATCACTACAAGTCTGGGCACGTTGAGAGCTGTACCTATATGAAAGGGGAGTTAGTCGGTTCTGTAAGAGCAGCGGGACCGGCTTTACAAGGTTTCGGTGAGTAATATGAGTGCAATGTGTAACGTTAATGTCAGCTAGCTAACATTAGCTAACAAGGTACACTAACGTGTTTTGTTTTAGTAACTAGTTTTCTCCTTAAGAACTTCGTGGTCTCTGTGTATGCTGTGGATAACATTAGTGTTCACAAGAACAAGGTACACTCCCGTGTTTTGTTTTAGTTGCTCTTCAGATTGAAGCGGACAGTTTTATATCAACTATACTGTATGTGTGATCTCCTTTTTCTCGTTGTGTCATTTGAGTTTATTTGCTGTGTGTAGATTCAAGGATTTTGGTTATCTAGGCACAGCTGTGTGTGACTCCCTCTGGTACACTGGTATGTGTGTTCCTAATGTAGAGAGCATTGATTAATTAATAAACTACACACTGAGTCTAGATCCTGATCAAATCCTTTTTTTTTGTTGATCAAATGTTTTTCAAAATGTATTTTCAGGTACAGGTCCAAGGGCAGCTGCACATCACAGACCGGAGTATCTGCTATTTTGTTGTGTGGACCACGAAGGAGGCGATCATCATCCCTATCCCCAAAGACCCTGCATGGCATGGAAATCTCCTCCTCCTGGAGAACTTCTACACTCAGCATATGCTCCCTGTGTTGGCCAGTAGAGAGGAGGACATATAAATAAACACACACACACACACACTCCAATGTTGTTGGAAAAGTAATAATGCTGCATGTGTACGTTTTTGTTCAAATATAGCAAGTGTTATCGTGTTATGTGTTCCTGATATCGTGCAGCCCTAATATTAAGGCCTTATTGTCACATGCACAATAACTACAGTGCAGTTTTGGGCAATGAACATGTTAAGTCTCAGGCCCCTCTAAAATAAAGGATATTTAAGACATATAAATAAAGAATTACTTTTACTGAACTACTACATAACTGTATTACATGGTTATATAAATAGTTTGAATGATTCATGACTGACAGAAGCTTGTTTTTACACTGACCTGTTATACTCATATCTATTAATATCTTTGTAACTTCAGTAAACCTCAACAATTCCCCTTCTGGTTTCATGCATCACAGTTCAGTAAACTGAGTAAAATATGAACCTGTGTAATCATTATAATAACTTAGGATTGTAACTCTTTAGAAAAGGTGTAGGTGGCTCTTAAAAGAGCCGTTGTGTGACTTTGGGCTGGTCTCAGCAGTTTAAGCCCTCTCCGCGGATGCAGCGGGCCAGCTGGATGTTCCCCCCGGGGATCGCAGGCTGAAAGGTTTGGGAACCCCTGGCTTAGTCAACGGTGAGGGTGCTGGCTACTTCCTTTATCAGGGGATTTTGCAGGTTCACCAAGGCACAGCAAAGCTGTACCAGCACATCAGGTTCGGTGTCTGCGGACTGCACGCTGGAGAATTTGGGGTCAGTTTCTGCAGACTCTGGCCCTTTGCTGTAGCTGTGGTCGCTGGACTGATTAACCGCTAAAATTCTACACCCAGCATATGCTCCCTGTGTTGGCCAGTAGAGAGGAGGACATTTAAATAAACATACTCTTAACACCCTCGGACTCTGCGTTGTGTTTCGTATGTGTGATGGGGTGTTATGCAGAGGGGAGGAAAACGGGACACAGCAGATTGGGATTGTGGTGGAGATGCTGAGCAGTTATTTAATTGTTGCATGTAATTATTATTATACTGCGTGCTTCTTAGTTATTCCATCTTTTGCTGTAACATGGATCTGTATGTATATTTACTTGTTATCTACCACACTTTCTTCTACATCATACACCATCATTATACATGATGGTGTATATAGGATATATATATATATGTTTGTATACATATCTGTAAATTGTATAATTTTATTTAAACGTCTTTTTGATCTCTGTCTATAAACACAAACTGAGTAAGATTGACAATAAAGTTGAATTTGAAAAATATATATATTCTTTATGAAAATAGTTGACTGTTGTCAAATGAATCCAAATGAAACGTTGGACTGAACTACAACTACGCCTTTAAATCTCTACGGACTGTTTTTCAGTGGGATGGCAAGTTCCTATCTTTAAACATTTATTAGTTTTTTCTCAGAACAGATTTGATTTTCTGAAGTTAATTTAACTTTGCCGACCATAAGGTCATTATTAAAAAGGTACAATCAATTTGTTTAGGGTTGACTAAAATAATGAAAAACATTAATTTGGATAATTTACTGACAGAATAAGAAACTCAATGATGCTTTACTCACCTGTTCCCTTTTTATAAAGTGAAACAGTTGAAACGATAGATTTTAGTAAACTTAAAAACAACCTTCTCCAAAAGCTATCAAGGAATATACCGAATACTTGTTTTAGAACTTTATTACATATTTGTATATAAATAGTTTGAATGATCCATAATTGACAGAAGCTTGTGTTTACACTGACCTGTTACTCATATATGAATGTCTTTGTAACTTCAGTAAACCACTACCTCACTAATTTCTTTCATTCATCACGGTTCAGTAAACTAAGTGATACATGAACCAGTTTAATCATTATAATAACGTAGGATTGCAACTCTTTGAAAATGTAGGTGGCTCTTAAAAGAGCTGTTGTGTTTGGGTGTGCTGGTCTCAGGTCAGTCCAAGCCCTCTCTCCGCGGATGAACAGAGAATGGTGATGGATGGAGCTGGGAAGAGAGAAGAATAAAGAAAACAGATCAACTTTATTATCGGATATTAAAAATTCAATTTCAAAACAAGTTGCCGCTCCTACAGTTTTCTAGTATGTAAAGATGATTTCACATGACTTACCATCCTTCTGTCTCCGTGAGGAGGGTGGGTCTTATGTTCTCAAGGAGAATCACCCATACTGGCACCAGGTCCAAGGGCAGCTGCACATCACAGACCGGAGTCTCTGCTATTTTGTTGTGTGGACCACGAAGGAGGCGATCATCATCCCCATCCCCAAAGACCCTGCATGGCATGGAAATCTCCTCCTCCTGGAGAACTTCTACACTCAGCATATGCTCCCTGTGTTGGCCAGTAGAGAGGACATATAAACACACACACACACACACACACATTATATTTAACTAATAAACAATAAATCCAATGTTGTTGGAAAAGTAATAATGCTGCATGTGTACGTTTTTGTTCAAATATAGCAAGTGTTATCGTGTTATGTGTTCCTGATATCGTGCAGCCCTAATATTATGGCCTTATTGTCACATGCACAATAACTATAGTGCAGTTTTGGGCAATGAACATGTTAAGTCTCAGGCCCCTCTAAAATAAAGGATATTTAAGACATATAAATAAATAATTACTTTTACTGAACTACTACATAACTGTATTACATGGTTATATAAATAGTTTATATGACAAGGCTAAGTAAAGTAATGCTAACTAACGTGCTCGCTACTCGTCGCTACTAGCTAGGTAGCTAACTTGACTATGTTCCATGCACAACATGTATATTACCTATGATATTACCTGATATGTCTGATCCAGCGACTCCTGGTCCTTTCATCAGACGGGAATCGATAGACGGAGCAAGTGGTATGATCACTTTTATGACTACAACCTGGTACAAAGCACACAGGCATCTTGTAAAAGTGAATTTATTTTTAGCGATCTATAATTTATTGGAGGGAATAAATCAGTTATGAGATCTTCTTCTTCTTCGCTTTAATTACGAGTCTTATTCTAAATCACCGAGCATGCCTGTGACATCACTTACGCGACCCAGAATGGGATTTGGGATTTGTAGTCTTTGTAGTAGCGTATTTTTCATAGTCTTATATTTCAGCAGTTTTACGACAAAATGTGACTTTTTTGACACGGAAATGATTGTTTAAGATTGACAAACATCATATGTGTAGTTCGTGGCACAATTCAAACGGGATCAAAAGATACGTGTTCTCTCTCCATTGAATTCAATGTACATTTTTCGCTTCCGGGGTCCCATGGTCCGGAAGTAGATGGGCGTGACTTCGCCTCTCCATAGCAGCTGCGTGGAGTCACAGAGTGACCCACGTGACTAGTGACAAGTTAAAGGTGTAGTCCAATGCGGAAGTGGTGACACTGGACTGTATGCATGATACAATAACACACGGTTAAGGGTTGTGCACCAACATGTATTTATAAATCAAGTACACAAATGTTTCTTGAACATATTTATAATGTGTCATAAACATACTTATACTCACGTTATCGTGAAATCAAGTGAACCGGAAGTGACGCGTCTGTCTCTCTTCGCTGTTGTGTTTCTGCTCCAGGAAGCTGTTACGTTCCGCCATGAAACCACAAAAGAACCGGAAAACAGAGCGTAAAGGTTTATAATCCGACCATAAAACCACGTTATTAAAGAGCCCACAGTGTATTTAAGGATTAGCACTGCGTGTAGCCTCGTAAAGTGTTAGCACTGTGAGCTGTTTATCTGAAGGAGTGTGGCTAGCGTTAGCAGCTAACGGCTAACGGCTGTAGCTGGAGGTAGAATAAAGATATATATATTAATAAAGATATATATGAATAAAGAGATGGCGCACATAAGGGTCTGTTGTTCCGGGGGGATTCTGCTCCTCCTGCTGCTGTTCGGATCTGAAGCCAGGATCCACAAACTCACCCTGAATGTAAGTCTGACATCTTTAACTGTGGGATAACATATGCTAGCAGAGAGGCTAGGTAGAGTAGCAGGTTATTAGCTAGTATGCTAATCAGTGATGCTATTTATCAGAGGAAGAAGTACTCAGAACTTGTAATTGAGTAAAAGTAGAAGTACTCAGATCTTGTACTTGAGTAAAAGTAGAAGTACTCAGATCTTGTACTTGAGTAAAAGTAGAAGTACTCAGATCTTGTACTTGAGTGAAAGTAGAAGTACTCAGATCTTGTACTTGAGTAAAAGTAGAAGTACTCAGATCTTGTACTTGAGTAAAAGTAGAAGTACTCAGATCTTGTACTTGAGTGAAAGTAGAAGTACTCAGATCTTGTACTTGAGTGAAAGTAGAAGTACTCAGATCTTGTACTTGAGTAAAAGTAGAAGTACTCAGATCTTGTACTCAGATCTTGTACTTGAGTAAAAGTAGAAGTACTCGGATCTTGTACTTCAGTAATAGTAGAAGTACTCAGATCCTGTACTTCAGTAAAAGTAGAAGTACTCAGATCTTGTACTTGTATTATTTTATTATGTATTTTAGTCACTATTTACTATTTTACTTTACTTATCAAGAAGCTCCTGTCCTGAATGTGCTCTCTAAACTAACTGACTTCAACTATTTGTTGAATTTTTTTGGATTTCTCTTTGCTCCCAGAATGAAACCCGGTCCTCCGTCGATCTCAACAACTTTGGTTTCTACGCCAACGGGACTCTGGACGTGAAGCTGGTGTCTCTGCGTCTGCCTGAAATCAACTACACCATGTACCCGGTGAGAAACACTGCTTTAAAGAGTTCCTACCACGCTTTCTGGGGGTTCCTGGCCTCTGGTTTCAGGCAGAGGGTGAAAAGAGGTGGTTTGAGAAAAATAAAGAGCTTTTTGAACATTAAAGCAGGAGAGGACTCTTTAAAGTAGAGACACTACATACTAGGGGTGTAACACTTCACAAAGATTTCGGTTCGGTATGTACCTCGTTTTTAGGTCACGGTTCGGTTCGGTACGTTTTCGGTACAGCAGAAAAAATTCTCACAAAACATAAAATATGTTTTTTTTTAATTTTTATTATTATTAAATTGTGAACTCAAATAAATACAAAATATAATAAAATAAACATTAAGGTGCAGCATTTCGATGAACTGAAATCTGTGCTTGAACTGTACTGTAGTACTCAGTTCGTAATGTACTAGTACTCAGACCTGAGCAGCCGGCAGATTGACATTAGCCGGCAGATTGCTTCTCATTGTATTTTCAGTTTTTTTTTAAGAAAAATGAACTTGTCCACAGCTTGGCAAAAGGGCAGATCTGCTGGCACTAACAATGTCTCCTGCTGTGGAGAACACCCTCTCGCTAGGGACAGAGGTAGCAGATACAGCCAGGTAGCGCTTTGCCAACATGGCAACATGAGGATATTTGGCCTCATTGTTCTTCCACCATGCAAGTGGGTCGGAGTCCAGTGAAGTGCTGTCCGCTGCCATGTATGAGGTAACCTCTCCCTTCACCAGCTGCAAAGTAGACTTGTTTCTCTCCTCAGTGTTGAAGAGCTCACCAAACAGTTCTGCCATGGCTGACTTCCTGATGGGAGGAGGAGGAGGAGGAAGAAGATTCTCCAGATTCCTCTGGGTCTGCTCTCCCTGCGGATGACATGGCTCCTGCTGTCTCTGTGGCCTCCCTCTGCAGAATTAAATGACAGAAATAATGTTATATTTTACATGAGAGTACTATTCACATTGTAACAGCTATAAAATGTTTCAAATTAAGCAAAAATTACATGTATGCATAAGGAAATTAATTAATTGTATACCTGTTCTTCAATGGCCACAATCTCTGTAGTGAGACTGTTGTAGATGTGTTCACGGCAGGCATTATCCATGAGAAAGGGCCTTGAACCTTGGATCTACAGCTGTGCATGTATGAAGAAAGCCCTGAAGAGCAGGGTCAGTGTATCTGTCCTTTAGGCTCCCTCTGATGGCAGCTTTGACTTCCTTCACAGTTGGACAGTCCTTCTCATTTGGTCCCATGGATTTAATCAGCATTGTTTTGAGAGGCAGGATCATTGAAACTGATGGAGTTGTTTCAGTGCACATCAGTGTTGTGATCGTTTTTAAGGTTTAAGGACCTCAATTACCTCCTCTGCCATTCTCACATCCTGGTCACTCAATGTATTCATGTTTTTGTTTTTCTTGAGGGCCTTTTCTGTCAATGCTGAGTAAACAGCAGCTTGCTGCTCAAGATACCGCTCCACCATGTCATAACTGGAGTTCCAGCGAGTGGGGACATCATGGATGAGTTTGTGTTTTGGCACATTGAGCATCTCCTGTTTGCACTGCAATATATGTGCAGCTGTTGTGCTACGGTGGAAGAAAGACACAACACTCCTGATTCTGCCTAGCAGCCTGGACACCTGGTTGATTCCTGTTGCTTTTTGTGCTGCTAAATTCATTGTGTGAGCAAAGCATCCAATTTTGGGGCCCAGTCCAGCTTCACTGATTGCATTGACAATGTTTCTAGCGTTATCTGTTGTGACTGGAATTGTGTTACCTGGCCTCTCCAACTTCCATTCTGACACTACCTCCTTCAGTACCTCTGCCAGATGTGTGCTTGTGTGCTGTTCGTAAAGGGGGGGAGTTTGCAGGACGTGGCTTTGCATGTTCCAGTTGCAGTCGGGTGTAATGTAGTGCGCCGTTACAGTTAAATAACTCTCGGTGGCCCTAGATGTCCACCCATCGGTCGTTAGAGCAATAGAAGATGCCTTGGATAGGTCGTGTACAACTGTCGTTTTTACTTTATTGTAAAGTGCTGGTATCACTTCCTGGCTGAAGTGCGGACGAGAGGGAACCTGGTAACGAGGCTCGACCACTCTCAACATGTGTTTGAACCCTATATTCTCCACAACGGAATATGGTCGCATGTCCGCTGCTATGAAAACACCTATGGCGTTTGTGATAGCTTTGGCTCGGTCGGAATTTTTTACGAGTGGTGGAGGCTTAAATGCTAGCGGGAGTTGGGTTTGCACTTCAGTAATTTTTCGTTTGGTACCGGTAATATTTACGTTCGGGTGATGCCTTTTCAGATGCGTGTGCATGTGTGTTGTATTGCCGGCCGCGTAACCAATGTGTGTCGAACAATGCCGACAAACAGCTTTAGTTCGGTCCACCTGTCTTTGTCCGTCATCATTGTTCGTAACTGCGAAACCATAATGTTCCCAAACCGGAGACTTCAATGATGCTGGAGGATTTTCGAGCTCAACTTTCCCTGCGTTCGCCATTTTGAGAGTTCCTCAAATTACTGACTAAATTTGAACGCATCCCTGTGACCAGCTCTCATAGCATGCCTCTCGTCCAATGAAATGACTTGCTTGCTCTATGACGCGTTGAACCCATTGTGAGCAAATGACTCTGAATGCTGCGCCGCAGCACCTGAGACTACTTCCAAAAAGTTGTTCACGTTCTCAATTTTTTACGTTTAACGTTATATTCGTTCGGTTCACTTCGGTACACACCTGTACCGAAGTGAAGGGCCCGTACCGAATAATTTCGGTACTTGTACCGTTACACCCCTACTACATACTGATATACACCTGAACATCAGCAGGAGAGGACTCTTTAAAGTAGAGACACTACATACTGATATACACCTGAACATCAGCAGGAGAGGACTCTTTAAAGTAGAGACACTACATACTGATATACACCTGATCATCAGCAGGAGAGGACTCTTTAAAGTAGAGACACTACATACTGATATACACCTGAACATCAGCAGGAGAGGACTCTTTAAAGTAGAGACACTACATACTGATATACACCTGAACATCAGCAGGAGAGGACTCTTTAAAGTAGAGACACTACATACTGATATACACCTGAACATCAGCAGGAGAGGACTCTTTAAAGTAGAGACACTACATACTGATATACACCTGAACATCAGCAGGAGAGGACTCTTTAAAGTAGAGACACTACATACTGATATACACCTGAACATCAGCAGGAGAGGACTCTTTAAAGTAGAGACACTACATACTGATATACACCTGAATATCAGCAGGAGAGGACTCTTTAAAGTAGAGACACTACATGCTGATATACACCTGAACATCAGCAGGAGAGGACTCTTTAAAGTAGAGACACTACATACTGATATACTCCTGAACATCAGCAGGAGAGGACTCTTTAAAGTAGAGACACTACATGCTGATATACACCTGAACATCAGCAGGAGAGGACTCTTTAAAGTAGAGACACTACATGCTGATATACACCTGATCATCAGCAGGAGAGGACTCTTTAAAGTAGAGACACTACATACTGATATACACCTGAACATCAGCAGGAGAGGACTCTTTAAAGTAGAGACACTACATACTGATCTACACCTGAACATCAGCAGGAGAGGACTCTTTAAAGTAGAGACACTACATACTGATATACACCTGAACATCATCAGGAGAGGACTCTTTAAAGTAGAGACACTACATGCTGATATACACCTGAACATCAGCAGGAGAGGACTCTTTAAAGTAGAGACACTACATACTGATATACACCTGAACATCAGCAGGAGAGGACTCTTTAAAGTAGAGACACTACATACTGATATACACCTGAACATCAGCAGGAGAGGACTCTTTAAAGTAGAGACACTACATACTGATATACACCTGAACATCATCAGGAGAGGACTCTTTAAAGTAGAGACACTACATGCTGATATACACCTGATCATCAGCAGGAGAGGACTCTTTAAAGTAGAGACACTACATACTGATATACACCTGAACATCAGCAGGAGAGGACTCTTTAAAGTAGAGACACTACTTACTGATATACACCTGAACATCAGCAGGAGAGGACTCTTTAAAGTAGAGACATTACATACTGATATACACCTGAACATCAGCAGGAGAGGACTCTTTAAAGTAGAGACACTACATACTGATATACACCTGAACATCAGCAGGAGAGGACTCTTTAAAGTAGAGACACTACATACTGATATACACCTGAACATCAGCAGGAGAGGACTCTTTAAAGTAGAGACACTACATACTGATATACACCTGAACATCAGCAGGAGAGGACTCTTTAAAGTAGAGACACTACATACTGATATACACCTGAACATCAGCAGGAGAGGACTCTTTAAAGTAGAGACACTACATACTGATATACACCTGAACATCAGCAGGAGAGAACTCTTTAAAGTAGAGATACTACATACTGATATACACCTGAACATCAGCAGGAGAGGACTCTTTAAAGTAGAGACACTACATACTGATATACACCTGACCATCAGCAGGAGAGGACTCTTAAAGTAGAGACACTACATACTGATATACACCTGAACATCAGCAGGAGAGGACTCTTTAAAGTAGAGACACTACATACTGATATACACCTGAACATCAGCAGGAGAGGACTCTTAAAGTAGAGACACTACATACTGATATACACCTGAACATCAGCAGGAGAGGACTCTTTAAAGTGGAGACTACATCCTGATATACACCTGAACATCAGCAGGAGAGGACTCTTTAAAGTAGAGACTACATACTGATATACACCTGAACATCAGCAGGAGAGGACTCTTTAAAGTAGAGACATTACATACTGATATACAGCTGAACATCAGCAGGAGAGGACTCTTTAAAATAGAGACTACATACTGATATACACCTGAACATCAGCAGGAGAGGACTCTTTAAAGTAGAGACATTACATACTGATATACAGCTGAACATCAGCAGGAGAGGACTCTTTAAAGTAGAGACACTACATACTGATATATACCTGAACATCAGCAGGAGAGGACTCTTTAAAGTAGAGACACTACATACTGATATACACCTGAACATCAGCAGGAGAGAACTCTTTAAAGTAGAGACACTACATACTGATATACACCTGAACATCAGCAGGAGAGGACTCTTTAAAGTAGAGACACTACATACTGATATACACCTGAACATCAGCAGGAGAGGACTCTTTAAAGTAGAGACACTACATACTGATATACACCTGAACATCAGCAGGAGAGGACTCTTTAAAGTAGAGACACTACATACTGATATACACCTGAACATCAGCAGGAGAGGACTCTTAAAGTAGAGACACTACATACTGATATACACCTGAACATCAGCAGGAGAGGACTCTTTAAAGTAGAGACACTACATACTGATATACACCTGAACATCAGCAGGAGAGGACTCTTTAAAGTAGAGACACTACATACTGATATACACCTGAACATCAGCAGGAGAGGACTCTTAAAGTAGAGACACTACATACTGATATATACCTGAACATCAGCAGGAGAGGACTCTTTAAAAGTAGAGACACTACATACTGATATACACCTGAACATCAGCAGGAGAGAACTCTTTAAAGTAGAGACACTACATACTGATATACACCTGAACATCAGCAGGAGAGGACTCTTTAAAGTAGAGACACTACATACTGATATACACCTGAACATCATCAGGAGAGGACTCTTTAAAGTAGAGACACTACATACTGATATACACCTGAACATCAGCAGGAGAGGACTCTTAAAGTAGAGACACTACTGATATATGGCCTCTTCAAAAAAGCAGAAATATCAATTTTGTTCTATATAATTTGCACGAACTTGGCGTTCTGGTTCAGTGAAGAGTGAAGTATGTATTGAGTAACCACCTCTCTCTTCCTCTGTGCAGCTCGGGTTCACCCTCTCCAGGTCCAGAGTCAACGGAGTCTTATCCTACACAGTGAGTACATCATAACTATCAGGGTAACAGGGTCTCTGCGCCCTCTCACTCTCAGCGTGCACCCTCATACCGAAATGCAGATTCCCCCCGTAAAGTGATGCCAGAAAACAAAATGTCTGTTCCTCAAAAACTGTATAATTCCTCCAGAAATCTGAGAATCAAACGGAGCGTCAGACGAAGAGACAGCTTTGTTTGCGTCAGGAGACATCTTGTTTACGTCAGGAGACATTTTGTTTACGTCAGGAGACATCTTGTTTCCGTCAGGAGACATCTTGTTTCCGTCAGGAGACATCTTGTTTACGTCAGGAGACATCTTGTTTGCGTCAGGAGACATCTTGTTTGCGTCAGGAGACATCTTGTTTGCGTCAGGAGACATCTTGTTTGCGTCAGGAGACATCTTGTTTACGTCAGGAGACATCTTGTTTGCGTCAGGAGACATCTTGTTTGCGTCAGGAGACATCTTGTTTGCGTCAGGAGACATCTTGTTTGCGTCAGGAGACATCTTGTTTGCGTCAGGAGACATCTTGTTTACGTCAGGAGACATCTTGTTTGCGTCAGGAGACATCTTGTTTGCGTCAGGAGACATCTTGTTTGCGTCAGGAGTAGGGGTGTTGAAAATAATCGTTTCTACGATGCATTGCGATGCGGACGTGGACGATTCGGTCTCGATGCAGTGACGGAAGATAATCGGTTATAGCGTAGTAACGTTGCTTCCTGATTTTCCGGCCGCGGCTTTACTACAACGTTTTTTTTTTCTGTCACTTTAATATCAAATCGGTCGGTGACGCAGAGATCAGGGAACAGACGTGACAGCGGCACAGCAACACCAAACACGGAGCAGTCTGCTTTATCCACCAACACAAGAACACCAGTCCAGAACCAACAGCAGAAGGACCCGCTCTGAATCACTCCGTGTCGCTGCGGCTCAGCGATTTATGTTTTTCAATAATAATCGCGTTACAATGATGTCAGGTTTTTGGTGGATTTAATTAAGTCTTGGATTGCAGAGTATGAATGTCCTCTAGCAATTTCCAGACGATATATACGTGTGTAAAGTTTGTGAAGGCAGGAGGAATAAAGCTTCCGCGATCACCGTCTCCTCTGTTCCTCTAAGCCCCGCCCCCTCCCTGAAAATAATGAGTGACAGGCTGATAGTGACCCGATAGAAACTTTTTTATTCACTTAATCACTGAGATATAATGAAGCTAACTTAATCTCATACATTCATGGGATTTATGTAACAGTAAGACAGAGAATGTGAGTGTGCACCCACATGCAGTATTTTAGTTGTTATATGCTGTTGTAAATACTCTTGTCTGCTGTGTTCAGACTCAAGTCCTGTGTGTGATGCCACATTCAGGACATTCAGTGTCCTTTCTTTAACAGAAGGCCGTTGCTAGAAGCTGCAGCTAGACTGCAGAAGCATTATTTTTTTGTTTTTGAGGATGGAACAATTTCACACACAGATATAGGGAGGCTAGACCTATACAATTCATTTAGGTTTATAAATTAATGTCAAGACATTTATGTGATTGATTTCTGAAGCACTTTCTAAATAATAAAAAGAGAGTTGATATGTATTTACTGCATGTATGCATTGATGAAAAATAAGCCATGTGCAGTAATATAGAAAATTGAGGATGCACCGCATTGGTATGAATCGTGATGCATCGGGATATCGAATTGAATCGAATCGTTGACAGGATAATCGTAATCGAATCGTGAGACCAGTGAAGATGCACAGCCCTAGTCAGGAGACATCTTGTTTGTGTCAGGAGACATCTTGTTTACGTCAGGAGACATCTTGTTTACGTCAGGAGACATCTTGTTTACGTCAGGAGACATCTTGTTTACGTCAGGAGACATCTTGTTTGCGTCAGGAGACATCTTGTTTGCGTCAGACATCTTGTTTGCGTCAGGAGACATCTTGTTTGCGTCAGGAGACATCTTGTTTGCGTCAGGAGACATCTTGTTTGCGTCAGGAGACATCTTGTTTGCGTCAAACATCTTGTTTGCGTCAGGAGACATCTTGTTTGCGTCAGGAGACATCTTGTTTGCGTCAGGAGACATCTTGTTTGCGTCAGGAGACATCTTGTTTGCGTCAGGAGACATCTTGTTTGCGTCAGGAGACATCTTGTTTGCGTCAAACATCTTGTTTGCGTCAGGAGACATCTTGTTTGCGTCAGGAGACATCTTGTTTGCGTCAGGAGACACATCTTGTTTGCGTCAGGAGACATCTTGTTTGCGTCAGGAGACATCTTGTTTGCGTCAGGAGACATCTTGTTTACGTCAGGAGACATCTTGTTTGCGTCAGGAGACATCTTGTTTGCGTCAGGAGACATCTTGTTTGCGTCAGGAGACATCTTGTTTGCGTCAGGAGACATCTTGTTTGCGTCAGGAGACATCTTGTTTGCGTCAGGAGACACATCTTGTTTGCGTCAGGAGACATCTTGTTTGCGTCAGGAGACATCTTGTTTGCGTCAGGAGACACCTTGTTTACGTCCCTGCTGTGTCTTCTCTCTTGCTCTCAGCCCTAACATCTCCTAAATCAGATCATGAGTCTCAGTCGTGTTTCCATCAACAGATCGGGTGTTTGCACATTCAGATTGGTTTATCGTGTTTTGTGTTTTTTTGTAATTCCCTCTGCAGGCGGAGGAGACGGACACGTGTCCACTCACTGTCCCGCAGACCACCAACAGCGAGCCTCTCCTCCTGTTCCTCATCGACATCAACAAGCTAAGGTGTGTGTGTGTTTGTGTGGATTACAACCTCTTAAGCCCCACGGACCCGCCGAAGGGTCCAAACCCTCATCATCTGCAAGCAACAGCGTCTGAGGGTTTCTTAAGATTTAATAAACTATGAATGTTTCATATCATGTAACGGGAAGAAACTTTGCTAACTGATGATTATTTTTTTTAGCAAAAAAACACACAAAGCCAACGCCGAGCCTCTGAATTAGCCCTGTGCGAAAAAATCTCAAGGTCTTTAGCACAGAACTCTAGCTATACCGATCGATATACTTATTGGATATGCACAAACAAGCTTAGCTAACATCCTGAGAGTCCACAGATTATAGAAACATAAGGATCATCACTGAGCGATCAGAACTCGCGACAGGGGAAGCAAATACAGACGACACACGAGTAGCTTTAGGTAGCAAAACACGGAGATATGCTCACCTTAGCTGTTACTCTGATCAAAAGTCGTGTTCAATGGCATTCAAACGAGAAAAAACGTGGCTGAAGGTTAAGCCATAGGTTATAGCAATGTGTCTGTCACTTTGAACAAATTATTGATAATCCATAATTCCATTTTTATGCAAAAATCGGAGAAGAAAAATTAGCTGCTAATGGTAGCCACCAGAGGTTAGCGCAGCTTCCGGTTTTTCTACGCGTCTCTCTCACTCCTTATTTGGTAACCTGTGTGTGTGGGGAACTTTCCCTCGATTCCATTGGCTCTGACGGTTAGAAAGAGGTGTCAATCAGCAAAATCGACCAAGGGGGGCCAGAGATATGGAAAATCCACCCAAATGACCCCAGAGGTGCAGTCTTTTTTGCTAAACCTCTCTAAAAAGGTCAAATGTCTACATATTGATTCTGACTGTTCTACATCCAACTCACAGGTTTATCATTACTTTGAGAAAAAAGATTATTAATTTTCCCTTTTAGAAGATATGGTCATTTGTTCTGGGAATGTCATTTTCGAGCCTGAGACCTGAAAAACAGACTCAGGGCTTAACTGGTTGAAAGTACTCAGATCTTGTGTGTGTGTTTCTGCTCCTGAAGTGTGTGAAACTGACTTTGTGTGTGTGTGTGTGTGTGTGTGTGTGTGTGTGTGTGTGTGTGTGTGTGTGTGTGTGTGTGTGTGTGTGTGTGTGTGTGTGTGTGTGTGTGTGTGTGTGTGTGTGTGTGTGGTGTGTGTGTGTGTGTGTGTGTGTGTGTGTGTGTGTGTAGTGTGTGGTGTGTGTGTGTGTGTGTGGTGTGTGTGTGTGTGTGTGTGTGTGTGTGTTGTGTGTGTGTGGTGTGTGTGTGTGTGTTGGTGTGTGTGTGGGTGTGTGTTGTGTGTGTGTGTGTGTGTGTGTGTGTGTGTGTTGTGTGTAGCGTCCACTGTGAAAGTGATGGGGGAACCCAGGCAACCTGTTGGATAGCAAAGCCTAAACGGTGAGTCCCTTTCACTAAATCTGAAGCGTTTAAACATGTAGTCCCATCCAAGCAGAAGGATCATTTATGGGCTTTAATATAATATCTCATTATTTGAGGATATGTCTAATTATTTTCTTTTACTGATTTAGAAATTTGATGCGTATAATCATACCAGCCGCTATTCTGACATGGAACTTAGAAGGAAACCCCCGTTTTAATTGACATCTTCTAGTGCTTTTATTTTGAAAACCCACACCAATCATAGTCACACTCTAAGGGTTCGGCTTTTATTTGAAATGACATTGGTCTGTGGAAACGGGAAGTTTATAAAACATGTGTCCCCTCATTTAAAGTCAGATTGGTCTTAAATACATAAACACTTGTATACTCTTATTTATATTCTGTTTTAAATTATTAATTACTCGAACAAATTAATATTCTTTAATTCGATTTTTAGTTTTCTTTTATACTTAATGAGCCACTGACTAACACGTTCACTGAAAGGTCGTTTTTATTTAAAGTCAGTTAGCATTTATGTTGAAGGAACATTGTGGCCACTTGCTTTTTTAAGTCAGTCTTCAGAAACTTTATTTTGAAGGAACATTCTATTTCGTCCCTACTGACCACCAGAGGAGGTGCTTAGCACTGGATATGTCCATTGTGCGCATGCGCAGCTCGAGTACCAAATAACAACAAAGTCACCTGTGACCCACGTGACACCGGCTACATATGCCGGCGTCGTCAGAGGATATGTTCCTTTCATCTTCTCACTGCGCGAAGAGTACCGTGGCTACATTCTTGTAGCCTACAGCGTTCAATTTTAATGTTTGATCTGAGGGATTTTCTCTGCATACAGCTGGCCGCGTGCAGCTTCGCGACTGGTCCAGTCGGAGCCACGGGTTATTAACAGCATTCTACTGTAGGCTATTTTTATTATATGTACAGCACTTTGGCTCGACCAAAAATCGTTTATAAATGTGCTATATAAATAAAACTTGATTTGATTTCATTAACGCGTCCTCCGGGAGCTGTGGCCGGCTGTGCGCTGTGCGCTGTGCAGAGCCTCGACGGACAGGTTTGTGTCTTGTGGTGATGGCTGTGTCCCCGCACCCTGTCCCAGCCAAGTTGTCCTGATTGCTGTCTTGTTTATTGTTTGGCTTAGACTTTCTGGTGACGACAGTGTTCCCGCTTCCTCTCCCATAAAGTTGCCCTTATTATGCTCTTTTGAAGTTCTGCTTGTGGCGTTGTGCCCGAGCTATCATTAGCATTTGAGTCCCAGCTTTAGCTGCATCTCTCGTTCAATTTAGTATGGAAAGCCCAGAGTGCCATAATTGCCCGTTTTTTGCTTAGATGTAGAGAGTAAGGTAAGTACTGGCCATCGTTACTACTGTAACTACGGCCTATGGGTCTAGGCTCAGCCTAACTATATCGTTGTATTTACCCCACCTAGTACTAGACTCCTAGCACTAGGAGGGGTAGATGCAGAGAACAATCTTCACTGTGTGCTGTATGCTCTGCATGTGTGGCCATTAAGAGGATTTCATCCCTCCCTATATTATATTATATTATCTATATTATCAGCCGTTGGCTGACACTTTTAAACACCGCTAAGCCGTGTAAATGTCTTGCATGTACCGTTAAACTTCTTTATTTAACCCAGCTAGGTGAAGGCAGTGCTCCCGCTCCCTCTGCCGGTAACGTGGGTGTAGTTACATCCCTCTCTGTGTTCGGCGAGTAGGAGCATTGTTCTACTCTTTCCGTTCAGCAGGTAGATGGGGATGGCTGTGTTCTCGCTCCCGGCTATGCTGCATCTGGCTACCTACAGACTGGCTACCCACAGACTGGCTCATTCATGTAGCGCCTGTATGGCTCTCTTGAGCCCGAGGACGGCCATGACCGCTGCCCCCCTCTGCTTTGGCCTCGAGCATTTGAGGGGAGGGTCTCACGCAGAGCGCCTGCATGAACTGTAGCTTCATGCCTCGAGCGCTCAGAGTGGCACAGTCACAACTTCCTCCAGCTCAGTCTGGCCGTTCCCGGCGACTTGATGGAGTGATGGAGTGATGGCTATGGGTTCACCCCCCAGGTAGAGGACTAGAAACAGGCTGTCCACTAAGGCGGGTCGGTTAGCTGCCGCCATGGAGCAGACGAAGTCGCTCCTGTTGGCCCTTCTGCCCCGGTGTGGGGGCTACTAGCTTGTCGCCTGGCCCTCCTTCGGTTGCCACACCTCTGCTTGAGGATGCCATGTTGCTAGCGGCTTCGGCTAAACCTCTTCTATGAAGGGGTGGAGGGCGGGGCCCCGCTCACCCCAGAGGAAGCTTTCCACTCCTCTGCTTAGAGCTCTGCAGGGCATGGAGGATGCCTCCATGGCGGCCACTATTCGTGTGGCCCTGGCACGCTTGCAGCTTCAGGTTCCGCGGGTCAACTCGGCTCAGGCTAGCGCCTTCTTCAGGCATAACCCTGCCCCTGTCAGTCTCACTGTTCCTCCTTCAGAGGAGTACCTGAGGGAGCTCCATGCATGCTGGAGAGACACCAGGGCGAGCTGCTCTGTAGGGCCTACGACACCGCTGCACGCACGGGTCGTAACATGAACTCCCTGTCCCATCTGATGCTGGCAGTCTCTACTTCTCGGCAGCAGGCTCTGGCCGAGCCTTCTTTGCTGGGCCTCAGTGATGCATCACTGCAAGCCTTTGCCCTAATGTCTAGGGAATTGGGATGAGTTATGGCCTTATTGGTGCAGACTCGTCACCAGGTTTGTCCTGCTCAGTCACCATTGTCGGGGACATGTCCTCCGTAGTGTGCCAGGGGAGCTGTTTGGGGAGCGTGCTGCTCAAGCTAGACGGACCAGGCAGCAGCTTTCGGGTCTTCATAGGCCTGTGCCCACTCCCAGCAGGCCCAGGGGCTCCTCTACCAGCCGCACTCAGCCACCAGCTTACAGTGGTGGTCTGCGCAGGTCCCAGCGGCGCACTCATCCGCCTGGGCTTTCGTGCCCCCAGTCGCCGGCCTTCTAGGCGGCCTCGTGCCTCAGAGCCTTACCGGCGCCCCCCAGCCAGTCAGGTCTCAAGTGGCCCAGGATACGGCGTGCCTCTTATCTCACGTAGCCCGGTTGGGACTAACAGTGAGCACCAGAAAGAGTTCACTCCACTCTCTATCACGCTGGAGGGGCAGGGCCTATCTCCTGAGGGGCGTGCCCATGGGTGCCAGCCCGTCCCGCCAGGAGACTGTCACCATAGGTGCAGGTCTCTCAGGGTTGGGTGCAGTGCGGCAGGGCAGGACCGTTCAGGGTCAGTGTTCTGCCCAGGAGGGTGCACGCCATGTCAACGTGCTAGAGCTTCAGGCTGTGCAGCTTGCACTCACACACTTTCTACCCCAACTAGGGGGCAAGCACGTGCTTGTTCCTTGGGACAGCATGTACACTGTTGACCAGACAGCAGTCCCTTCTAGATAGTGGACGTTCTCACTCCACTCTGAGAGTTTATGTGGCTGCTATTTCTGCTCGACATGTTCGGGTCGATGGCGCCACGGCAGGATGCCACAGGTCGGTGTCCCTCTTCCTGAGAGGGGCTTTACGGCAGCATCCCCCTAACACCCCGAGGGCTCCGGCTTGGGACCTGCCCCTGCTGCCGGATGCCCTGTCATCTCCTCCCTTCGAGCCCCTGGCCCAGGTGGGGCCTAATGGCGCGTTACCACTGTAGCGGGTAGCTCGCTTTAAGCGTGACGAGCCGTGCGGGGCCCGTTTTTGGTTGCGTTTCCACTTGGCCTAGTTTTTGCCCGGGGCTACTTTTTCACCTTTTTTCTGGCCCGACTTAATCGTGGTTCTAGGGCCAGGAACAACCAGGCTGAGTCGGGCTGAGTATGCTAAACTAGAGAGAGAATCGCTGGCAAGGGGGCTACAACTACAACAAGATGAACATATTTGACCGTGATTTAATTGTAATACACGTTTCAAAATGATGCCGAAGTAACAACACACTGATACCGGTTAGTAAAAACCATGAATTAATGCTTTGACAAGTCTGCAGACAGACGGCAGGCGAAAAACCCTTTTAAAATGCTTGTTTTCTAAATGGAGCTTGGCTAAGCTAACGTTATATATGCTCCGACCGTCCACACTCACAACAACGGCCTATACAGACATAAATAAACCAGCGACTGTATTCGCCATGACACAGGCAGTCTGTGGTTTGTACTTGTTTAACTTTTGTCTAGTTTCTGAACAGATATGAAGAGCTGTGAGCTCTCAGTGCTAAGAGCTAACGACTGTGTTGTTTTTCTGGGGCTCTCATTGAAGATGACGTCACGGCTCCGCCTACACTGCGTTACTATAGTAACTACCCTAGTTCCTAAACTGAAATGGGAGCGCAGCATTAAAGTGAGCCGGGCCTAACCAAAACCAGCGAGGCCTGCAGTGGAAACGCGCCATAAGTGGCTGCCCACGAATGCAGCATTTCTGCTTGCCATAGCCTCAGGGAAACGAGTTGGGGAGTTGCATGTCCTCTCCATTAGCGATACATGCCCGAGGTGGGACTCTCAGGTGTTGCCCTTTGGGCAAATGTGGCATTCCAACCCAAGGTGCTTCCACAAACCCACTTCAATCAGCCTGCTCAGCTGGCACGCTCTGACATTCAGGAGAACGGCACGTCGAAGTTGCTGTGCCCTGTGGGTGCCCTAAGGGCGCGTATATTGATGCTACTGCCTGTATACGCCAGTCGGAGCTCCAGGTTTTATCGGGTTAACCACTCCCCATCTTTGGGCGTGGTCCTTTTGCCAAGCTCCGCTGCTTCCAGCAGTGAGAAAGGGCTTGGATTCTTCATGACATGGTTGGTATAAGTCATCCAGTGCTAAAGCACCGCCTCTGGCGGTCAGTAGGGACGACATAAAACGATAGTTACGGCTGTAACTACGGTTCTATGAGTCCCGGATGACCGCCAGAGTTTCCTGTCACTCAGAATTATTGTGTGCTCGCGAGAAGATTCTGGGAACAGATCCTCTGACGACACTGATATAGCCGGTGTCACGTGGGTCACAGGTGACTTTGTTGTTATTTGGTACTCGAGCTGCACATTCGCACAATGGACATATCCAGTGCTAAGCACCTCATCCGGGACTCATAGAACCGTAGTTACAGCCTTAACTATCGTTTTATTTTGGTGCCTTTTTTATTTGAAATCAATTCCTGGTCTGATTTTTGAAGCCCAGTGAATATGAGGGAGTCTTTGTTTCCTGCAGCTGTGAGGGAAAAGAGGGAGGCGGCTCATGCGGCTCCTGCGGCTCCTGCGGCTCCTGCGGCTCCTGCGGCTCCTGCGGCTCCTGCGGCTCCTGCGGCTCCTGCGGCTCCTGCGGCTCCTGCTGCTCCTGCTGCTCCTGCTGCTCCTGCGGCTCCTGCTGCTCCTGCGGCTCCTGCTGCTCCTGCTGCTCCTGAGGCTCCTGCTGCTCCTGCGGCTCCTGCTACTCCTGCGGCTCCTTTAGATCAAGAAGTTCAGAGAGAAGGAGAAGGAGGAGGGGAACAAAGCTTCCAGGTAACGGGTGTTTGTGTGTCTGTTCCATTTAAAACATGGGACAGCGTTTGTGGTCACGTCCTGTGTGGTTGCAGTGAACGCACTCTCAGTTTCTAACGGCTTCTGATTTGTGCTTTCAGCTGGACCAAATGAATCCGATGACGCTCGCTCTGGACAAAGTGAACGGCTCCTACAGCTTCAGCGTACGCCCCTCCCCCCCCCCCCCTCTTCTCTGAGAATTGGAAATGTTTGATTTTGTTTCCTGTTGCGTGAAACTCTTCCTCGTCTCTCCTCAGTTCCACATCGTGTTCAGCCTGCTGGCCGAGGGGCCCTACACCCTGAAGTTCCACTACTGCCGCAACAAGGGGCCCGTCAAAAAACTGCCCTACTACTTCTCTGTGAGTTAGCGTGTTTCTTAGCATGTCCCTTAGCGTGTCCCTTAGCGTGTTCCTTAGCATGTTCCTTAGCGTGTCCCTTAGCGTGTTCCATAGCGTGTTCCTTAGCGTGTTCCTTAGCGTGTTCCTTAGCGTGTCCCTTAGCGTGTTCCTTAGCGTGTTCCTTAGCGTGTTCCTTAGCGTGTTCCTTAGCGTGTTCCTTAGCGTGTTCCTTAGCGTGTCCCTTAGCGTGTCCCTTAGCGTGTCCCTTAGCGTGTCCCTTAGCGTGTCCCTTAGCGTGTTCCTTAGCGTGTTCCTTAGCGTGTTCCTTAGCGTGTTCCTTAGCGTGTTCCTTAGCGTGTCCCTTAGCGTGTTCCTTAGCGTGTCCCTTAGCGTGTTCCTTAGCGTGTCCCTTAGCGTGTTCCTTAGCGTGTTCCTTAGCGTGTCCCTTAGCGTGTCCCTTAGCGTGTTCCATAGCGTGTCCCTTAGCGTGTCCCTTAGCGTGTTCCATAGCGTGTCCCTTAGCGTGTTCCATAGCGTGTTCCTTAGCGTGTCCCTTAGCGTGTTCCTTAGCGTGTCCCTTAGCGTGTTCCTTAGCGTGTCCCTTAGCGTGTCCCTTAGCGTGTCCCATAGCGTGTTCCTTAGCGTGTTCCTTAGCGTGTTCCATAGCGTGTTCCATAGCGTGTTCCTTAGCGTGTTCCTTAGCGTGTCCCTTAGCGTGTTCCTTAGCGTGTCCCTTAGCGTGTCCCTAGCGTGTCCTTAGCGTGTTCCTTAGCGTGTTCCTTAGCGTGTTCCTTAGCGTGTTCCTTAGCGTGTTCCTTAGCGTGTTCCTTAGCGTGTTCCTTAGCGTGTCCCTTAGCGTGTTCCTTAGCGTGTCCCTTAGCGTGTTCCTTAGCGTGTCCCTTAGCGTGTCCCTTAGCGTGTCCCTTAGCGTGTTCCATAGCGTGTCCCTTAGCGTGTCCCTTAGCGTGTTCCATAGCGTGTCCCTTAGCGTGTTCCATAGCGTGTTCCTTAGCGTGTCCCTTAGCGTGTTCCTTAGCGTGTCCCTTAGCGTGTTCCTTAGCGTGTCCCTTAGCGTGTCCCTTAGCGTGTTCCATAGCGTGTTCCTTAGCGTGTTCCTTAGCGTGTTCCTTAGCGTGTCCCTTAGCGTGTCCCTTAGCGTGTTCCATAGCGTGTTCCTTAGCGTGTCCCTTAGCGTGTTCCATAGCGTGTTCCTTAGCGTGTTCCTTAGCGTGTTCCTTAGCGTGTTCCTTAGCGTGTTCCATAGCGTGTTCCTTAGCGTGTCCCTTAGCGTGTCCCTTAGCGTGTCCCTTAGCGTGTCCCTTAGCGTGTTCCTTAGCGTGTCCCTTAGCGTGTTCCATAGCGTGTTCCATAGCGTGTTCCTTAGCGTGTCCCTTAGCGTGTCCCTTAGCGTGTCCCTTAACGTGTCCCTTAACGTGTCCCTTAGCGTGTCCCTTAGCATGTTCCTTAGCATGTTCCTTAGCATGTGCATGCCTGTGTTGAACAGTACACTTAAGTACTGTCCTTAATCAGAATCCCAAATGTGTGATTATTACCACGGCGGGGAAATGGTTAAATGTAGAGACAAGCTCACGTTGGGGCGGCTGTGGCTCAGTGGATAGAGAGCTGGACTTCGAATCACGGGGTACCAGGTTCGAGTCCCACTGCAGTCAGCATGTCGTTGTGTCCCTGAGACTCTTCACCCCAAAGTGCTCCTGTGGGGATTGCCCTCAGTACTGAATGTGTGTGAGTCGCTTTGGATGATAATAATAATAACTTGAATTTATATAGCGCCTTTCATAACCTCAAGGTCACTTTACAAAGAAACATACAAGGACAAGACATAAAACAGGGGGCAGAAATGGAAGTGTAACTGGAGTGAGTTATTGTTGGAAGGCGATGTTGAACAGATGACAAGTGACATGTGATGTAAATAACAAATAAGAACACATTCAGGGTAGACATTTTATTTGAGCCTTAAGGTAAGAGAACACACTATAGGTTACGGCTGCTCGGTTATGGCAACAATCATAATCTGGATTATTTGGGTCAATAATTGATATCACACTTTGAAAACATCAATTTATTGAAAAGAAAAAAAGTGAACAGCATGTTTTTAAACAGTTGATTACCCTGAACTTTAAGTATAATTCAACTGAAAACCCAATAACAAAATAATTTAAATAATAAAAAAAAAAGAAGGTTTTATTTCGATTACGTTGTTTTCGTAATCGTTGCAAGCCACAACCATAATTGCGATTTAAAATAGGATTCATTGAGCAGCCCTACTATAGGTGAAGAATTAGAGGTACTAGTTATTTGAGTATTCTCCCATTAAGCTACTTGTATTCCTGCTGGGAAATCTGCCTTCATCACAAGCCGACCTCATCAGCTCTTTAAATAGTCCAGTTTTAGGAAATAGTTAATACTGCATTGTAATGTTGCTGTACACTGTGCATGCATCGGTGGTCCATTTGACTTCAGAACTGTAGCAATCATTGAATTGATCTCCTCCCATGTTCTGCTTTACTGACACCAGACGACTGTAGTTCTGCTGCTTCCTCAGACTTCCTTGAGCTACTATACTATAGCTCCACTGCTTTGGTTCCCAGCTCTTTAGTGTATTGAAATGTCAGCATATAGTAAGGTGAGTGTGTGCTGTGCAGGTGGAGGTGACGGAGAAGAACCCCGGAGGCTACCTTTCCGCAGCAGAGATCCCTCTCTCTCGCCTCTACATCGGGATGGCCGGAGTCTTCTTCACCGCCGCCATGGTCTGGGTGTACACGCTGATGAAGCACAGGTACACACTGACTCCTTATTTAGGAGGACCAATCAGGCTTTTTATTAGCACAGCTTCAGCTGTGAAAACCGTTGTGCCTTTTTATTGTTTCCAGGTACAGTGTGTTTAAGATCCACTGGCTGATGGCAGCGCTGGCATTCACCAAGGCCATCTCCCTGGTGTTCCACAGTGTAAGCACATATTGTCATGTATTATCTGCTTGTATTATATCAATGCATCTTGTAATGTGATGAATCTCTCTGTCCCTCAGATTAACTTTCACTTCATCAACACTGAGGGCCATCCCATTGAAGGCTGGGCCGTCATGTATTACATCACTCACCTGTAAGTACCGTTTCTTAGTTAATACAATGTCTATTTCTTTTACCTGATGTATTAGTTTTCCTTTCTAAATGTTTATCAGAATACAACACACATGATGCTTCCAGAACACATTCATGATTCCAGGGATTATACACAGTAAGATGATCTAAATGTAATGTTTCAGGCTGAAAGGGGCGCTCCTCTTCATCACCCTGGCTCTGATTGGCACTGGCTGGGCCTTCGTTAAATACATCCTGTCCGACAAGGAGAAGAAGATCTTCATGATAGTCATCCCTCTGCAGGTGAGAGTGTGAGGGGGTTGCAAGAAGTACAAACAGAAGTAAAACATACATAACACAAACATTCAGGAAACAGTAGTTACATTTGCAGTAAAATCAGAAAATCTTGGTGTCAAAATGAACAGAACTTCTTTGAAATGATGTTTAATGAACTTTTCAACATCTTCAAACTGGTTTCCTCTCCGTGACCCTGAGTGAAGTAAAAATAAAACTTGTTCTGAACTTCTGATATTTGAGTCTCACTCATTTAGTAGTCCCAGTTCAGCAGCACCAGATTGTGGTGCAGAAAGCAGAGTTGCTGCGAGGCTCCACTAGCAGCCGTCCCAGCGCGTCCCAGTTTCTCCGCTGCGAGCCGCTACCCGCCCGGTCCCTGTGTAACTGGGAAACTGATAGAATTGGATCATAAGATCGTGGTGTTTTTGCAACTCCAGCATAGGGGATTGGGATGTTTATTGAACTTCGGCTTTCAACTGATTTACCTTGGAAACACCGCTGCTGCTTGCCTCTGTCTGTGTCTGCGTTCTTCACACCTGCCTGTAATCTGAGAAGGTCCCGCCTCTCTGGCTGCAGCCCGGAAAATCTTCAGTGTTGATAGGCTATTACTGAAGTGTCAATCAGATAGCGCTGTGGGCGGGACATTGCTCGTGAACAGTGCTGACTGCAGCCAGAGAAGCGGCCGCATCAGAGCCAAAGTCGTATCGGCCATTTGATAAAAAAAAGGGTGTGTGTGTGTGTGTGTGTGTGTGTGTGTGGTGTGTGTGTGTGTGTGTGTGTGTGTGTGTGTGTGTGTGTGTGTGTGTGTGTGGTGTGTGTGTGTGTGTGTGTGTGTGTGTGTGTGTGTGTGTGCGTGTGTGTGTGTGGTGTGTGTGTGTGTGTGTGTGTGTGTGTGTGTGTGTGTGTGTGTGTGTGTGTGTGTGTGTGTGTGTGTGTGTGTGTGTGTGTGTGTGTGTGTGTGTGTGTGTGTGTGTGTGTGTGTGTGTGTGTGTGGGGGAACCTGTAAGTGTGGGAACCTGTAAGCGTGTGTGGGGGGGAACCTGTAAGTGTGTGTGTGGGGGAACCTGTAAGCCTGTGTGTGGGGAGGAACCTGTAAGTGTGTGTGGGAACCTGTAAGCGTGTGTGGGGGGGAACCTGTAAGTGTGTGTGGGGGGGTGAGAACCTGTGTGTGGGGAACCTGTGTGTGTGGGGGGGGAACCTGTAAGTGTGTGGGGGGGTGGGAACCTGTGTGTGGGGGAACCTGTAAGTGTGTGTGTGTGAGAGAACCTGTAAGTGTGTGTGGGGGTGGGAACCTGTGTGTGGGGAACCTGTAAGTGTGTGTGTGTGAGAGAACCTGTAAGTGTGTGTGGGGGTGGGAACCTGTGTGTGGGGAACCTGTAAGTGTGTGTGGGGGTGGGAACCTGTGTGTGTGGGGGTGAACCTGTAAGTGTGTGTGGGGGTGGGAACCTGTGTGTGGGGAACCTGTAAGTGTGTGTGTGAGGGAACCTGTAAGTGTGTGTGGGGGTGGGAACCTGTGTGTGTGGGGGTGAACCTGTAAGTGTGTGTGGGGGTGGGAACCTGTGTGTGGGGAACCTGTAAGTGTGTGTGTGAGGGAACCTGTAAGTGTGTGTGGGGGGGAACCTGTAAGTGTGTGTGTGGGGGGGTGGGAACCTGTGTGTGGGGAACCTGTGTGTGTGTGGGGGGGAACCTGTAAGTGTGTGTGTGGGGTGGGAACCTGTGTGTGAGGAACCTGTGTGTGTGTGGGGGGGAACCTGTAAGTGTGTGTGTGGGGGTGGGAACCTGTGTGTGGGGAACCTGTAAGTGTGTGTGTGAGGGAACCTGTAAGTGTGTGTGTGCAATGGAAACAGCAGTTGTGTGTGTGTGTAGTTGTTTTACACCCATAATGTGTGTCTGCAGGTCCTGGCCAACGTGGCGTACATCATCATCGAGTCGACGGAGGAGGGCTCCATCGAGTACTACCTCTGGAAGGAGATCCTGTTCCTGGTGGACCTCATCTGCTGCGGAGCCATCCTGTTCCCCGTCGTCTGGTCAGTGTTTCTGTCTTTGTTTAAACGACCGTTGAACAGAAACAGACGATTCTAAACAGTGCATTCAAACCACGACACTCATTTGATTCTCGACTCGATACAGGGGCCATGCATGTTAACCCTAACAGTACATTCGCTGTGTGTGTGCAGGTGAGTTTCTAAATTGTTGTTGTGTTCTCAGGTCCATCCGTCACCTGCAGGAGGCGTCCAGCACCGACGGCAAAGGTGAGTCCTGATCAGATCCAGCCTGCAGCGTTCACTAAACCCAGTCATTTTGATTAACTCTGGTTTCATCTCTTTCAGCGGCCATGAATCTGGAGAAGCTCAAACTGTTCAGGCATTATTATGTGATGGTAAGAGCGGCTAAGCAGCATTCTCCTATGTACACAATGAAAACAGCAGTAAAACCTTTTCGTTTGGCGGTGGGGAAGCTCTGTTGCATCATGGGAGTTGTAGTCTACAGATTATCCTGGAAAGTGGAGTACTCAGTCTGCATTCATTTGGTTTATCTTTTAATATTGTCCCTGTGATTTTCAGATTGTGTGTTACATCTACTTCACGAGGATTATTGCCATCCTGCTGAAGGTCACCATGCCGTTCCAGTGGCAGTGGTGCTACGAGGTGAGACGACAACAACAACACACGTTATGTTCATGCCTACACATGTAGATTTGGGCAACATAGATACCACATTCTTAAATATCTTTTATTCTATATTTGTATTGAACATCCAGACTTTAATAATGTTCCTACTTCCTGTCAGTTATCTCTCATGGCTCTTCATAATGTTCCTACTTCCTGTCAGTTATCTCTCATGGCTCTTCCTAATGTTCCTACTTCCTGTCAGTTATCTCTCATGGCTCTTCATAATGTTCCTACTTCCTGTCAGTTAACTCTCATGGCTCTTCCTAATGTTCCTACTTCCTGTCAGTTAACTCTCATGGCTCTTCATAATGTTCCTACTTCCTGTCAGTTATCTCTCATGGCTCTTCATAATGTTCCTACTTCCTGTCAGTTAACTCTCATGGCTCTTCCTAATGTTCCTACTTCCTGTCAGTTATCTCTCATGGCTCTTCATAATGTTTCCTACTTCCTGTCAGTTATCTCTCATGGCTCTTCCTAATGTTCCTACTTCCTGTCAGTTATCTCTCATGGCTCTTCATAATGTTCCTACTTCCTGTCAGTTAACTCTCATGGCTCTTCATAATGTTCCTACTTCCTGTCAGTTATCTCTCATGGCTCTTCCTAATGTTCCTACTTCCTGTCAGTTAACTCTCATGGCTCTTCATAATGTTCCTACTTCCTGTCAGTTAACTCTCATGGCTCTTCATAATGTTCCTACTTCCTGTCAGTTATCTCTCATGGCTCTTCCTAATGTTCCTACTTCTTGTCAGTTATCTCTCATGGCTTTTCATAATGTTCCTACTTCCTGTCAGTTATCTCTCATGGCTCTTCATAATGTTCCTACTTCCTGTCAGTTATCTCTCATGGCTCTTCCTAATGTTCCTACTTCCTGTCAGTTATCTCTCATGGCTCTTCATAATGTTCCTACTTCCTGTCAGTTAACTCTCATGGCTCTTCCTAATGTTCCTACTTCCTGTCAGTTAACTCTCATGGCTCTTCCTAATGTTCCTACTTCCTGTCAGTTAACTCTCATGGCTCTTCCTAATGTTCCTACTTCCTGTCAGTTATCTCTCATGGCTCTTCCTAATGTTCCTACTTCCTGTCAGTTATCTCTCATGGCTCTTCATAATGTTCCTACTTCCTGTCAGTTATCTCTCATGGCTCTTCATAATGTTCCTACTTCCTATCAATTATCTCTCATGGCTCTTCATAATGTTCCTACTTCCTGTCAGTTATCTCTCATGGCTCTTCATAATGTTCCTACTTCCTGTCAGTTATCTCTCATGGCTCTTCATAATGTTCCTACTTCCTGTCAGTTATCTCTCATGGCTCTTCCTAATGTTCCTACTTCCTGTCAGTTAACTCTCATGGCCCTTCATAATGTTCCTACTTCCTGTCAGTTAACTCTCATGGCTCTTCCTAATGTTCCTACTTCCTGTCAGTTATCTCTCATGGCTCTTCATAATGTTCCTACTTCCTGTCAGTTATCTCTCATGGCTCTTCCTAATGTTCCTACTTCCTGTCAGTTATCTCTCATGGCTCTTCATAATGTTCCTACTTCCTGTCAGTTAACTCTCATGGCTCTTCATAATGTTCCTACTTCCTGTCAGTTATCTCTCATGGCTCTTCCTAATGTTCCTACTTCCTGTCAGTTATCTCTCATGGCTCTTCCTAATGTTCCTACTTCCTGTCAGTTATCTCTCATGGCTTTTCATAATGTTCCTACTTCCTGTCAGTTATCTCTCATGGCTCTTCATAATGTTCCTACTTCCTGTCAGGTTATCTCTCATGGCTCTTCCTAATGTTCCTACTTCCTGTCAGTTATCTCTCATGGCTCTTCATAATGTTCCTACTTCCTGTCAGTTTAACTCTCATGGCTCTTCCTAATGTTCCTACTTCCTGTCAGTTAACTCTCATGGCTCTTCCTAATGTTCCTACTTCCTGTCAGTTAACTCTCATGGCTCTTCCTAATGTTCCTACTTCCTGTCAGTTATCTCTCATGGCTCTTCCTAATGTTCCTACTTCCTGTCAGTTATCTCTCATGGCTCTTCATAATGTTCCTACTTCCTGTCAGTTATCTCTCATGGCTCTTCATAATGTTCCTACTTCCTATCAATTATCTCTCATGGCTCTTCATAATGTTCCTACTTCCTGTCAGTTATCTCTCATGGCTCTTCATAATGTTCCTACTTCCTGTCAGTTATCTCTCATGGCTCTTCATAATGTTCCTACTTCCTGTCAGTTATCTCTCATGGCTCTTCCTAATGTTCCTACTTCCTGTCAGTTAACTCTCATGGCCCTTCATAATGTTCCTACTTCCTGTCAGTTAACTCTCATGGCTCTTCCTAATGTTCCTACTTCCTGTCAGTTATCTCTCATGGCTCTTCATAATGTTCCTACTTCCTGTCAGTTATCTCTCATGGCTCTTCCTAATGTTCCTACTTCCTGTCAGTTATCTCTCATGGCTCTTCATAATGTTCCTACTTCCTGTCAGTTAACTCTCATGGCTCTTCATAATGTTCCTACTTCCTGTCAGTTATCTCTCATGGCTCTTCCTAATGTTCCTACTTCCTGTCAGTTAACTCTCATGGCTCTTCATAATGTTCCTACTTCCTGTCAGTTATCTCTCATAGCTCTTCCTAATGTTCCTACTTCCTGTCAGTTATCTCTCATGGCTCTTCATAATGTTCCTACTTCCTGTCAGTTATCTCTCATGGCTCTTCATAATGTTCTTACTTCCTGTCAGTTATCTCTCATGGCTCTTCATAATGTTCCTACTTCCTGTCAGTTAACTCTCATGGCTCTTCATAATGTTCCTACTTCCTGTCAGTTATCTCTCATGGCTCTTCATAATGTTCCTACTTCCTGTCAGTTAACCCTCATGGCTCTTCCTAATGTTCCTACTTCCTGTCAGTTATCTCTCATGGCTCTTCATAATGTTCCTACTTCCTGTCAGTTATCTCTCATGGCTCTTCCTAATGTTCCTACTTCCTGTCAGTTATCTCTCATGGCTCTTCATAATGTTCCTACTTCCTGTCAGTTAACTCTCATGGCTCTTCATAATGTTCCTACTTCCTGTCAGTTAACTCTCATGGCTCTTCCTAATGTTCCTACTTCCTGTCAGTTATCTCTCATAGCTCTTCATAATGTTCCTACTTCCTGTCAGTTATCTCTCATGGCTCTTCATAATGTTCCTACTTCCTGTCAGTTATCTCTCATGGCTCTTCATAATGTTCCTACTTCCTGTCAGTTAACTCTCATGGCTCTTCCTAATGTTCCTACTTCCTGTCAGTTAACTCTCATGGCTCTTCCTAATGTTCCTACTTCCTGTCAGTTAACTCTCATGGCTCTTCCTAATGTTCCTACTTCCTGTCAGTTATCTCTCATGGCTCTTCATAATGTTCCTACTTCCTGTCAGTTAACTCTCATGGCTCTTCATAATGTTCCTACTTCCTGTCAGTTAACTCTCATGGCTCTTCCTAATGTTCCTACTTCCTGTCAGTTATCTCTCATGGCTCTTCATAATGTTCCTACTTCCTGTCAGTTATATCTCATGGCTCTTCATAATGTTCCTACTTCCTGTCAGTTAACTCTCATGGCTCTTCCTAATGTTCCTACTTCCTGTCAGTTATCTCTCATGGCTCTTCCTAATGTTCCTACTTCCTGTCAGTTATCTCTCATGGCTCTTCATAATGTTCCTACTTCCTGTCAGTTATCTCTCATGGCTCTTCATAATGTTCCTACTTCCTGTCAGTTAACTCTCATGGCTCTTCATAATGTTCCTACTTCCTGTCAGTTAACCCTCATGGCTCTTCATAATGTTCCTACTTCCTGTCAGTTAACCCTCATGGCTCTTCATAATGTTCCTACTTCCTGTCAGTTATCTCTCATGGCTCTTCATAATGTTCCTACTTCCTGTCAGTTAACTCTCATGGCTCTTCATAATGTTCCTACTTCCTGTCAGTTAACTCTCATGGCTCTTCCTAATGTTCCTACTTCCTGTCAGTTAACTCTCATGGCTCTTCCTAATGTTCCTACTTCCTGTCAGTTAACTCTCATGGCTCTTCATAATGTTCCTACTTCCTGTCAGTTATCTCTCATGGCTCTTCATAATGTTCCTACTTCCTGTCAGTTATCTCCATGGCTCTTCCTAATGTTCCTACTTCCCTGTCCTTATCTCTCATGGCTCTTCATATGTTCCTACTTCCTGTCAGTTATCTCTCATGGCTCTTCATAATGTTCCTACTTCCTGTCAGTTAACCCTCATGGCTCTTCCTAATGTTCCTACTTCCTGTCAGTTATCTCTCATGGCTCTTCATAATGTTCCTACTTCCTGTCAGTTATCTCTCATGGCTCTTCATAATGTTCCTACTTCCTGTCAGTTATCTCTCATGGCTCTTCCTAATGTTCCTACTTCCTGTCAGTTAACTCTCATGGCTCTTCATAATGTTTCCTACTTCCTGTCAGTTATCTCTCATGGCTCTTCATAATGTTCCTACTTCCTGTCAGTTAACTCTCATGGCTCTTCATAATGTTCCTACTTCCTGTCAGTTATCTCTCATGGCTCTTCCTAATGTTCCTACTTCCTGTCAGTTAACTCTCATGGCTCTTCCTAATGTTCCTACTTCCTGTCAGTTATCTCTCATGGCTCTTCCTAATGTTCCTACTTCCTGTCAGTTAACTCTCATGGCTCTTCATAATGTTCCTACTTCCTGTCAGTTAACTCTCATGGCTCTTCATAATGTTCCTACTTCCTGTCAGTTATCTCTCATGGCTTCTTCCTAATGTTCCTACTTCCTGTCAGAGTTAACTCTCATGGCTCTTCCTAATGTTCCTACTTCCTGTCAGTTATCTCTCATGGCTCTTCCTAATGTATCCTACTTCCTACTTCCTGTCAGTTAACTCTCATGGCTCTTCCATAATGTTCCTACTTCCTGTCAGTTATCTCTCATGGCTCTTCATAATGTTCCTACTTCCTGTCAGTTAACTCTCATGGCTCTTCATAATGTTCCTACTTCCTGTCAGTTATCTCTCATGGCTCTTCCTAATGTTCCTACTTCCTGTCAGTTAACTCTCATGGCTCTTCCTAATGTTCCTACTTCCTGTCAGTTATCTCTCATGGCTCTTCCTAATGTTCCTACTTCCTGTCAGTTAACTCTCATGGCTCTTCATAATGTTCCTACTTCCTGTCAGTTAACTCTCATGGCTCTTCATAATGTTCCTACTTCCTGTCAGTTATCTCTCATGGCTCTTCCTAATGTTCCTACTTCCTGTCAGTTATCTCTCATGGCTCTTCCTAATGTTCCTACTTCCTGTCAGTTAACTCTCATGGCTCTTCCTAATGTTCCTACTTCCTGTCAGTTATCTCTCATGGCTCTTCATAATGTTCCTACTTCCTGTCAGTTAACTCTCATGGCTCTTCATAATGTTTCCTACTTCCTGTCAGTTATCTCTCATGGCTCTTCCTAATGTTCCTACTTCCTGTCAGTTAACTCTCATGGCTCTTCCTAATGTTCCTACTTCCTGTCAGTTATCTCTCATGGCTCTTCCTAATGTTCCTACTTCCTGTCAGTTAACTCTCATGGCTCTTCATAATGTTCCTACTTCCTGTCAGTTAACTCTCATGGCTCTTCATAATGTTCCTACTTCCTGTCAGTTATCTCTCATGGCTCTTCCTAATGTTCCTACTTCCTGTCAGTTAACTCTCATGGCTCTTCATAATGTTCCTACTTCCTGTCAGTTATCTCTCATGGCTCTTCATAATGTTCCTACTTCCTGTCAGTTAACTCTCATGGCTCTTCATAATGTTCCTACTTCCTGTCAGTTATCTCTCATGGCTCTTCATAATGTTCCTACTTCCTGTCAGTTATCTCTCATGGCTCTTCATAATGTTCCTACTTCCTGTCAGTTATCTCTCATAGCTCTTCCTAATGTTCCTACTTCCTGTCAGTTATCTCTCATGGCTCTTCATAATGTTCCTACTTCCTGTCAGTTATCTCTCATGGCTCTTCATAATGTTCCTACTTCCTGTCAGTTATCTCTCATGGCTCTTCATAATGTTCCTACTTCCTGTCAGTTAACTCTCATGGCTCTTCATAATGTTCCTACTTCCTGTCAGTTATCTCTCATGGCTCTTCATAATGTTCCTACTTCCTGTCAGTTATCTCTCATGGCTCTTCCTAATGTTCCTACTTCCTGTCACTTATCTCTCATGGCTCTTCATAATGTTCCTACTTCCTGTCAGTTATCTCTCATGGCTCTTCATAATGTTCCTACTTCCTGTCAGTTATCTCTCATGGCTCTTCATAATGTTCCTACTTCCTGTCAGTTAACCCTCATGGCTCTTCCTAATGTTCCTACTTCCTGTCAGTTATCTCTCATGGCTCTTCCTAATGTTCCTACTTCCTGTCAGTTATCTCTCATGGCTCTTCCTAATGTTCTTACTTCCTGTCAGTTATCTCTCATGGCTCTTCATAATGTTCCTACTTCCTGTCAGTTAACTCTCATGGCTCTTCCTAATGTTCCTACTTCCTGTCAGTTAACTCTCATGGCTCTTCCTAATGTTCCTACTTCCTGTCAGTTATCTCTCATGGCTCTTCCTAATGTTCCTACTTCCTGTCAGTTAACTCTCATGGCTCTTCATAATGTTCCTACTTCCTGTCAGTTATCTCTCATGGCTCTTCATAATGTTCCTATTTCCTGTCAGTTAACTCTCATGGCTCTTCATAATGTTCCTACTTCCTGTCAGTTAACTCTCATGGCTCTTCATAATGTTCCTACTTCCTGTCAGTTATCTCTCATGGCTCTTCATAATGTTCCTACTTCCTGTCAGTTAACCCTCATGGCTCTTCATAATGTTCCTACTTCCTGTCAGTTATCTCTCATGGCTCTTCATAATGTTCCTACTTCCTGTCAGTTATCTCTCATGGCTCTTCATAATGTTCCTACTTCCTGTCAGTTATCTCTCATGGCTCTTCATAATGTTCCTACTTCCTGTCAGTTATCTCTCATGGCTCTTCATAATGTTCCTACTTCCTGTCAGTTAACTCTCATGGCTCTTCATAATGTTCCTACTTCCTGTCAGTTATCTCTCATGGCTCTTCATAATGTTCCTACTTCCTGTCAGTTATCTCTCATGGCTCTTCATAATGTTCCTACTTCCTGTCAGTTAACTCTCATGGCTCTTCATAATGTTCCTACTTCCTGTCAGTTAACTCTCATGGCTCTTCCTAATGTTCCTACTTCCTGTCAGTTAACCCTCATGGCTCTTCCTAATGTTCCTACTTCCTGTCAGTTATCTCTCATGGCTCTTCATAATGTTCCTACTTCCTGTCAGTTATCTCTCATGGCTCTTCCTAATGTTCCTACTTCCTGTCAGTTAACTCTCATGGCTCTTCATAATGTTCCTACTTCCTGTCAGTTATCTCTCATGGCTCTTCATAATGTTCCTACTTCCTGTCAGTTATCTCTCATGGCTCTTCATAATGTTCCTACTTCCTGTCAGTTAACTCTCATGGCTCTTCCTAATGTTCCTACTTCCTGTCAGTTAACTCTCATGGCTCTTCCTAATGTTCCTACTTTCTGTCAGTTAACTCTCATGGCTCTTCCTAATGTTCCTACTTCCTGTCAGTTATCTCTCATGGCTCTTCATAATGTTCCTACTTCCTGTCAGTTATCTCTCATGGCTCTTCCTAATGTTCCTACTTCCTGTCAGTTATCTCTCATGGCTCTTCATAATGTTCCTACTTCCTGTCAGTTAACTCTCATAGCTCTTCATAATGTTCCTACTTCCTGTCAGTTATCTCTCATGGCTCTTCATAATGTTCCTACTTCCTGTCAGTTAACTCTCATGGCTCTTCATAATGTTCCTACTTCCTGTCAGTTAACCCTCATGGCTCTTCATAATGTTCCTACTTCCTGTCAGTTAACTCTCATGGCTCTTCCTAATGTTCCTACTTCCTGTCAGTTATCTCTCATGGCTCTTCCTAATGTTCCTACTTCCTGTCAGTTATCTCTCATGGCTCTTCCTAATGTTCCTACTTCCTGTCAGTTAACTCTCATGGCTCTTCCTAATGTTCCTACTTCCTGTCAGTTAACTCTCATGGCTCTTCATAATGTTCCTACTTCCTGTCAGTTAACCCTCATGGCTCTTCATAATGTTCCTACTTCCTGTCAGTAAACTCTCATGGCTCTTCCTAATGTTCCTACTTCCTGTCAGTTAACTCTCATGGCTCTTCCTAATGTTCCTACTTCCTGTCAGTTAACTCTCATGGCTCTTCATAATGTTCCTACTTCCTGTCAGTTATCTCTCATGGCTCTTCATAATGTTCCTACTTCCTGTCCCCTGTGTCTCTGCAGTTCCTGGTGGAGGTCTCCACTCTGATCTTCTTCGTGTTGACGGGCTATAAGTTCAGACCAGCGTCCAACAACCCGTACCTGCAGCTGCCCCTGGACGAGGAGGACGTGGAGATGGACGAAGTGTGAGCTCACCGTGATTTAATGTGTTGTGAATGTGTTAACCATCGATGTCCACCCAATGCCCAGTCATCGATACAAGTCTACCCACTCAACTGACATTGACTGATTGACCTGTTAACTGCTATTGGCTAATGGTGGCTCTTTTCATTTGACATGACCAATGTCCTTTCTATTCTACATGTCCTCTTTGAACAGGTGAACTGAAGGCAGTAGCCGCTGTGTTTTGATTGGCTGTAATTGACGTCCTTCTTTGTCTCTGGTGCAGAGTGACTGAGTCCGGAGCTCTGGAGGGAATCTCCAAAGTGAAGAAGACGTGTAACGGACAACGCCCGAAAGAGTCCACCTTGTGAGCTGGAAGCTGCCTCCTTGGAGGGGGGGGGGGGTACTCAACATGGACCAAGCCCCTCCCCCCCCCACACCAGATCCCCTGCTGAACTCTGGGAGAGGTTGCAGTGTCCTGTCCACTGTCTGGCTATTCAAAAAGACAAACTTTGTTGGACGCTCTCCAATTCCTCAAAAACACTCCACCCAGAAACAGTGGAGGGGGGGTGGGGGTCTCTCCCCTCTCTCTCCCCTCTCTCTCTCCCCTCTCTCTCCCCAAAGATCATTATCATTTTAGAGATTTGCTTTCGGGTGTGTTTATATCAGTGTGTTTATATCGGCTATTTAAACGGTACTGCTGCCGGTCGTAGCTTCCTGTGCGATGTGTGTGTGAACGCAAGACGACGTGAAAACAAACTGTAATGTTTTTTTATCTTCTGGAGACAAAGCCCGGACTCAGGTGGCGGCTCAATCACTTTAGATTTAACTTTTAGGAATGTTAAAAGGAAGCTTGAATTCTTCAACAGAGAGGATGTAGTGTTTCTGGGTTGGTCCCTGAAGGCAGCATCTCCTGGTCCCTGAAGGCAGCACCTCCTGGTCCCTGAAGGCAGCATCTCCTGGTCCCTGAAGGCAGCATCTCCTGGTCCAATGGGATAATCTGTGAGTCCAACAAACGTTTGTGATTCTTGGAACACAGATCCCTAAAAGATGAAAGCTTCCTTTCAACACGTTCTCCTCACAGGTCGTTTTATAGTTTCACATCAACACTGCGCTTTCTGTGTTACTCTGTTTCCCATGTATCGAAATATATGAAAGAGGTTGTATATTTCAATATATGTCCTTATTGCATATTGAAATGTTATATTTCAGTATTATTTCCAGGAGAGCGAGGAGTCGGGACGCTGCTGTAATTTAATGCTTTAGTGGATGTTCAGCCCAGATCTTCATTTATAAATCTCTCATTTAGGGAGGGGTCTTTTGGCGAGGAGAGACCGAACAGATGATCTCTGGCTTTTGGTTTTACTTTCGTGCTCTTGATGTGAAGCTTATTTTATGAATTATTGAAGACTTAACAGATATAAATAAGACTGGAGAGGAAGGCACTTTGATGAAGAGGCTTTAGGACGCGTTCAGGTTCTGTTCTGATTGTTTTGAAGGACGCAGGAGACGAGGAGGCGTTCAGGTGTGACTGTTCACCTGAGAGGAAACAGGAAGTCACAGAGGAAGCTGTGATGTCTGCCTGAACTGTCACAATAAAGCTGGTGTTCTGGAAATGTGTTCATCCTGTTCGTCTTGGAGTGATTACATGTTGAATTTTAAAAAATTGAAATAAAAAATGTACAGAGTATAAATGTAATATTCTATGAGATATGAATACATTAATTTACGATATGTAATTTTCTGAGGTAACAATTGTAAATGTATCAGAAAGAAATCACAAATTAAGAGATTAAACAATTATAATTAACTTGGATGTTATTTAAAGGTCAGCTATCAGGCAATAGCATAGGTCATAAGTGTTTTGCTCCAAAAACCAAATGGACCACCCATTCTAGCCATGCCTCTATTTCACTTCCTGTTTCTAAAGTGCTGATTTGGGGAATAAAGCTTTAAAATAAAGAATTGATAAAAAAGAGGGGCGGAGTTTATGCGGGAGATTCTACCGGCAGGTAGAGGCGAAGTCACGCCCAGTGGAGAGAGAAAACGTATCTTTCGATCCCGTTTGAATTGTGCCACGAATTACACATATGATGTTTGTCAATCTTAACAAATAATTTCCATGTCAAAAAAGTCACAGTTTGTCGTAAAACTGTTGAAATATAAGACTATGAAAAATACGAAACTAGAAAGACTACAAATCCCAGAGTCCCGGTCCCGCATGCTGGCTCTCACGGAACCGACTAACTCCCCTTGTGTGTGCAGCTCTCAACGTGCCCAGACTTTGAGTGATTTTCACCTCTTTTAATACTTTCCGCCTCATTGTGAAAGAAAGAAGTGAAATGTTACAACGTGACGGCCGTCTTGGGCCCTTTCTCATTTCATCAAATCCCCCTCCTCGACTCCTCGGTCCTCCGGTAGTGACCCGGAAATGAATTTCAGCGCGCCATGTTGAAGGACATCTCATTTCTCTAAATGCACTTCGAGGATCGAGCGTCGAGGAGGCTCCCTGGAGGAGCTCTAACCGAGGATACACTGATGGCTCCTCCACGGCTACTTCGTGGATGCATTTCCGGGAACAGAGATGTTTCAAAGAGTCGTGACGTACGGCCGGACTGATCTCAGCCAATGACAGCTCTGCATGCATCCCTGGATATTATTTTATTAACTGCTCTCATCGTGACGGCGATGTTTACAGTGAGAACAGCTGTGAGGTCCGTGCAGAAAGCAGAGCAGTGTGTATAATATATATCACTCAGTATAACAGGCCTACATTACTCTCTGTATTTGCTGTAGTTTAGTAGATATCTACAAACAAAGAGTCCATATTTTTCTAAAACCATTTAGTGCTTCACAAAATAAAATACACAACGGCTGTAACCTGTTTTAGGAATTGTGTGTGTGGTGTAGGTGTGTGTGGTTCAGTGTGTAGGTGTGTGTGTGTACAGTGTGTGCGTAGATGCGGACAGACAGGTCTCAGTTGGTTTGGTGTCCTCTGCTTACTTTTAATACTTGTAAATAAAACTTTTGGCCCGTAATTTATTTTCCCCATTGTAGCGACCGGGGGGAGGGGGGGGGATATATCCAGTCTCTGATAGTGTTACGTTATTATGAGATTGCTCTGTTTGATTCTGAAATTGTATATATTTATATAAATATATACGTGTGTGTGTGTCCTCATCTGTAGCCTGTTATTGTCTCATTATACCGCACTGTGAATGAATCATAACCATTGTTGTTCTCTACCGTCCACCAGGCGCCTTGGGGGACTTATTGGAGGAATTAGATAATCTCCTCTCACACATCCCTGAAACTGGCCCTCCCGCTGTACTTCTAGGAGACTTCAACCTCCAGACGGGGAAGATAGACGAACTAACATCTCTGTTAACTGCCTTTGCTTTCTCACTGTCTCCATCCCCACCGACTCATAAAGCTGGCAATGTCCTTGATCTCATATTCTCAAGGAACTGCGCTACTTCTAACCTCTCTGTAAACCCGCTCCACACATCCGATCACTTCTTCATTTCATTCTCTCTACCCCTTTCCAAACATAACAAACTAATCTCTTCCCATCCTGCACCTGTCCGCCGTAACCTTCGTTCCCTCTCCCCCTCTACCTTTGCCTCATCGGTGCTCTCAGCCCTCCCTTCCTCTGACTCGTTCCAACTCCTGCCTCCAAACTCTGCTGCAGAAACTCTCCTCTCTACTCTCTCATCCTCTCTGGACTCTCTCTGTCCTCTCACATCTCGGCAGGCTCGTCAGTCCCCTCCTGCTCCCTGGCTAAATGACGCACTGCGTGCTAAGAGAACCGTCCTTAGGGCAGCAGAGCGGAAACGGTGGAAATCCAAACACCGTGACGACCTCCTAACCTATCAGGCTCTCCTCTCCTCTTTCTCTGCTTCGATCTCTCAGGCAAAAAGCACTTTCTTTCAAGATAAGATCCAATCTTCCTATTCCAATCCCAAAAAACTATTTTCCATCTTCTCCTCCCTCTTGGACCCCCCCAAAGCCCCTTCCCCCTCCTCCCTCCTGGACCCCTCCAAAAGCCCCTCCCCCCCTCCTCACTTCTGTCAAGCGACTTTGTTACCCACTTTGAAAAAAAGGTTGATGATATTCGCTCTTCTTTTTCTGACTCACCTTTACTCACCGCTGGGTCACCAGACCTTCCTTCCACCAACACACTAACCTCCTTTTCCCCTCTCTCTCCAAGTGAGGTTCTTACCCTCATTACCTCTGCCCGCCCTACCACCTGTCCTCTGGACCCTATCCCTTCAAACCTCCTTCAGACTATCGCTCCTGATATTCTACCGTTTCTCACCCATTTCATCAACACTTCTCTAACTTCTGGTCACTTTCCAAACAGTCTCAAGGAGGCAAGAGTAAACCCTCTCCTAAAGAAACCCACTCTCAACCCGTCTGATGTTATAAACTACAGGCCTGTCTCTCTCCTCCCGTTCCTGTCTAAAACACTTGAACGCGCTGTCTTTAGACAACTCTCCTGTTATCTCCATCCAGAACAACCTTCACCAGTCTGGTTTCAAGGCAGGTCACTCCACAGAAACTGCCCTCCTTGCTGTCACTGAGGAACTGCACACTGCTAAAGCAGCCTCCCTCTCTTCTGTCATCATCCTTTTGGACCTGTCTGCTGCATTTGACACGGTGAATCATCAGATCCTCCTTCGCACTTGGAGTTTCAGGCTCTGCACTTTCCCTCCTCACCTCATACCTCAAAGACCGTACCTACAGGGTGACTTGGAGAGGGTCGGAGTCCGACCCTTGTCAATTAACTACAGGGGTCCCTCAGGGCTCTGTTCTTGGTCCCCTCCTCTTCTCCTTGTACACAAACTCGCTCGGATCAGTCATTAGCCCGCATGGTTTTTCTTACCACTGCTACGCTGACGACACCCAATTAATTCTGTCCTTTCCCCGCTCAGAGACCCAGGTCGTCGCACACATCTCTGCTTGTCTAGCTGACATCTCTCAGTGGATGTCTGCTCACCACCTCAAGCTCAACCTTGACAAGACTGAGCTGCTCTTCCTTCCGGGAAAAGATTGTCCCACTCTTGACCTAACAATCAACATCGGCCCCTCTGTTGTTTCCCCGACTCAGACTGCAAGGAATCTGGGTGTGACCCTAGATAACAACCTGTCCTTCACTGCAAACATCGCTGCTACAACCCGTTGCTGCAGATACACGCTTTACAACATCAGGAGGATACGTCCCCAGCTGACCCAGAAAGCGACTCAGGTTCTGGTCCAGGCTCTCGTCATCTCACGCCTAGACTACTGCAACTCCCTCCTGGCTGGTCTACCTGCATGTGCCATCCGACCTCTGCAGCTCATCCAGAATCCAGCGGCTCGCCTGGTCTTCAACCTTCCTAAATGTCCCCACACCACTCCGCTCCTCCGCTCCCTCCACTGGCTTCCGGTAACTGCTAGAATCCACTTCAAGACAATGGTACTTGCTTACCATGCTGCGAATGGATCTGGCCCTTCCTACATCCAGGACATGGTTAAACCGTACACCCCAGCACGTGCACTCCGCTCTGCATCAACCAAATGGCTCGCTGCACCATCGCTGCGAAGGGGACCCAAGTTCCCATCAGCAAAAACACGTGGGTTTGCTGATGGCTCCAAAATGGTGGAATGAGCATCCATTGACATCAGGACAGCAGATAGCTTGCACACCTTCCGGCGCAGACTGAAAACTCATCTCTTTCGACTCCACTTCGAGCGATAGAACTATTAACAAAGCACTTATATACTAATAAAGGACTGGCTTATCTAAAGCCAGTTGAGTAGCACTTGAAATGTTTGGCTCTATGAAACCTGATGTACTTTATGATTCTGTTTTCTTCAAGTTTGTATTTTGTTGGTCGAACGCACTTATTGTAAATCGCTTTGGATAAAAGCGTCAGCTAAATGCAATGTAATGTAATGTAATGAATCAAAGTAAATATAGAAGTCATCATGAACACATCTGTCCATCAGACAGAGGGCTGCTGTGCCTCCTTTCATCATTAATGGACGTCTCTTTAAAATGACCGCTCAGAGGAGAGGAGTTCTCATTTCTCTAACCGCCTGCTGCTTCCCCTCATCTCTCCTCGGCTCCTCTCCTCTCTCCTCCTCTCTCCTCGGTTCCCCTCGTCGGCTCCTCGACTCGCATCTCCTGTGGGCGGGACTAAGTATCGAGGATAGGAGTCGAGGAGGGGAGTTAGAGAAATGAGAAAGGGCCATGCTCTCCAGTACAGGTTAGCTCTGAGTGTTAGCGATGCTAATGTAAACACCGACCATATTACGTCCAAAACAGTCGGGCATTGTTTCTGATAGCAACGTTTCTGATTGGGCCGTGGGTCCACATTTCAGATATTACGTCATATCGGACGCAAATCTGGATCAGCTCCGTTGTTCCCCGTTTTTAGAGATGTGGGTACGGAGCAAAAGAGAGAGGGTTTTATTTTCTGACGCTGCGTGAGTTCCCCGACACACCGGGGACACATGGTGATGTAGAGAAGACATCACAAAGTGACTTTTGTATGATAGGAGACCTTTAAATTAAAGTTATACAAATATTTAGGGATATTTTCTCATCAAATCAAATCACATATTTTTAGCTTAATGAAAAGTCACACACTTTAAAGGTGGGGTATGTAATTTATTTCAGAAACACTTGTTATATTCCATGGAATGCTCTTA